CCACACCTATCCATACTTTCCTCCGGAATCATCCTGAATCCCCAAAGTCACCCACTCTACCGATGCACCAAAGCTCACTAAACAACGCAACAAAGTCTATCAAAGCAATCCCTTGGCTCTCCTAGGTTCCCGGCCTCGCCTTGCCATCTGCTAGTGAGGAACTCCCCATAATGCCAGTCATCCACCTCATGAATACCATTATATTCACTTAGTAGCTGACTCCCATCATTTAAGAGTTCCACAAAGCACAAAGCAAGCAAAAAGTTTATAGTAACTCTCCAATTCATAAAACTATCATAGAACATTCAACCCACACACCACCACTTATGCTAGAAATTCAACCCTTACTGCCAGTTGCCTTATGCATGAAAATTATACACATAACATGATCAAATAGACTGTCAAATAACAAACTCTACCCTAGAACCACAACCAGACAAGGAACAGGAAATAAGGCCAAATCAATTATTCTAGGGATATAAGATCCTAATCGTGTGCAATTTTTAAAGCATACACTTAACAATTACTGATTCCAATAGATATTTTCATCCCAGCATAGCATTCAATACACCCAACGCAACAAGGTATCACATATCAGGCCAAACTACCACTAACTAATCAGCGGTAGCATGCAATCCTGCCAACTCATATAATATACATATAAAGGCATTGCTCCTAACATTCTATCATGCAGGAACTGTGCAGATCCTTAGTCCTAACTAGCATGCAATTCACAGATCGATAAATCAAATCATAGCATGTAACATGTAATGGTATTCTTGGAAAACTTACTTGAGCTCGACTGATTGCATGCACCACACCCTTCTCTTATTTTAGAAAATGTTTTTTTCTTGAAAATACTTTTCTTTTGAAAACTTTACCAATCCTCAGTTTAAGTTCAGACACACCCGAGAGTATGCCTAAATCCCTCAAACCAAGGCTCTGATACCAACTTGTAACGACTCGAAAATCACGACATAATTTTTTTTAGATTAATAAATCGTTAATATAGATTATTTCCATAAAACCAGAGTAACCAATATTTAGCAAGCATCATTTAACCAAAGTAATTCACAGAATGCGGAAACATGTGGTGTGTGCTCTGCAATCATCTCGAGCCCTTCCATTTGAAAATCGGAGTACTTGAAACATAAACTGAAAAGCGTAAGCACAAAGCTTAGTGAGTTCCTTAAAATACCATACCACATACAATCACAGATTATCATGCACATACATATAGATGTCATGGGCTCCCCCCCACATGTTCTGATATCCAAGTGTCATGGAGTCCCCCCATGGTCTTTACATGGAATGTGATGGACTCCCCCCATGGTCTGATATCCAATTGCCATTGGCTTCCCCCTAGGGTCTTCCATGCAAGTATCACAAAGACAACTAGCATACCACAAAACACATAATGGGTTGGCATTAGTGCCTTCGACCCATGGATATAGTGAGGAGACTCACCTCGAATGCAGAAGCTTACTAATAGAAATCCCTAGCTGCTGCCCTGACGACTTCTCGAGCTATCAATACCAAAATAACACCCAATAAGCAATTGGGTTCCAAACTATGATCCATAATCCATACTTGGGTAAAATGACCATCTTACCCCTAACCCAATATGAACCAGAACTGAGGCCCAGGCCCAAAACCAAAAAGGTCCAACTATAAGATCCATAAAGTCCATTAATGGCCCAATTTTCCAAATTAGGCCCAAACCCTCAAATAGGACTTTCCTTGAAGCCCATTAACATTTCTTAAACCAAAACGCACAATCAAATTTAGCCCAATAAAACCTCGAACAATACAAGCCCAAACGATAGTCCAAGCTCGAAATGACACCATAAGGCCCAACAAGGCCCAATTACCCCAATTAGGCCCAAATCCGACATGGACCTATCCTGAGAAGGCCCAATATCCAAAAAGGCCTGAAATACTGAATGGGCAACCCAAACTAGCTCCTGGTCCAAGTTTCAAAGCCCAAAAAGTCAACAAAACAAGAAGGGTCAACCAAGCCGAGTACGCCCTGCGTACTCACCTGGTATGCCCAGCGTACACCCTTTAGGGCCAGTACGCACAACATACCATATGGGTATGCCCAACGTACTCATCTGGACCCCAATCTCCTCCATTAAGCACTTAATCACTTCAGCCCTTGCTCCAAACTCTCCAATTTGATTCCTATGGATGACTTTTCAAGTAAAGTTTGTAGCTTTACTGCCATGCATGGCTTAATTCGGCTCTATAGCTCAGAAGAGCTTAGTGGATGGTCTTAACACATGCATGAACTCAAAAACTTCACAAAGATTGCACCTTTATGAATAAAGGACCCTTAAAATGTCCAGATCTACTAGATTGAGCTTCTAACACAACCCTAGCTCACAAAGACCAAGCAAAATGGACTAAAATGTCCATAAACCAACCCAAAAGTAGATCTATTCAATGAGTGGCCAAGATAGAGACTTTATACCTCTAAATTCTAGAAATGGAGATGTTAACACTGGATCTCTAGGCTCTTATCCATTGGTTGAGTCTACCACCTTCTTCTTTTCTTGAACAAACCACCAAAAATATTCTTTCAAGCTCCAAGCTTCACCCAAGGCACTTTAGGGTTTTATGTATGTCAAAAGAGGTGGAGGCTGACCTACAATGACCAAAGGGATGGTATAATGTCATTTATATAGGGTAGGAACCCCAAAAATTAGGGTTTTGCTCTAAAGGGAGTACGCCCCGTGTACCCCTTAGTACGCCCAACGTACTCACAACCCACCTGTGACCACTTATCCTTCTACGCCCCGCGTTCTCATTGAACCCCTAAAACCTTGAACTTCACTTAGCTCTAACTTCTTCGTCTTTGGTCCGTTTCCAATGATCCTTATATCCCCGGAGAGGTAGCAAGAAGCCTAACTCTTCTAACAACACACCCAAGCCTTAAAACCTTCCAGACAAAACTTGAAATCCATAAAAGACCTGAAATACCAAATTACGATTATAATCTTGACCTCCAAAGACACAATCGAACACTTGGATCACTTAGACCATAACACCCACACCCGAGAAGGGCCAATTTCTTCCTTTCCCAGGGCCCTAGGCCTCATGACCACTGAAGATTAGGCCGCAGCCCTGAATAAAGAAGCAAATCCGGAACCGAATGTTATAAAACCGTTGTACACCCTACACACTTAGAGTTAGAGAAACACTTGTACTCATATTCTCATCATCATCTCTTTGTAATTATATTTTCAAATCAATAAAATCAAACAAGGAAGGTGATTATTATCACCTCCCAAGGTTTTATGTCGGAGATCCTAGCAAGGATCAAGGGCTTTCCTTTTAAATCACGTGTGCAATCTTGTTCTAATTTCGTTAATCACTTCACCTACAACACCACAGCCTCTCATGCAATTTGGTTGATGTCTATTTATCGATTTTTGACCAAAACAATAGTACTGGGTCGTCACCTTGAATTTGGATCCCTTTAAAAATGCCTTTATTGCATGCAGGTTTGAGAACCACGTTCAATCCTTCCATAGTGATGGTGAATAAGAAAGGTGATAGAAGGTCTCCTTGGCGAACACCTTTAGTTATATCGAATTCTTTTGTTAGCGATCCATTGATGATAATCTATGCCTAAGAAGAGATCAATCATCCACGAATCCAAGAGCGCCATTTGTTACCTAATCCCATTTGTTCGAGGACAAAATCAAGGTATTCCCAATTTAGTGAATCAAATGTTTTGTCAAAATCAACCTTAAATAGTAGGATTTTCTTTTTAATTCGTTTTACCCATGAGCACATTTCGTTGATCATTAGAGGATTGTCACAGATACATTGGCCTTCCACATATGTCGATTGAACGTCTCCAATGATACCGCTAATGACAAAGTTTACTCTTATATAGTAATAAATAGTTTTGCATCTGATCATTCTCATTTATTCATAATATATAAGGATATACGATAAAAATATAGGATAATGCCATGAGGCCATGTGTCAAAAATTATACAAAAAAATAATACATAATACACTAACATTATTCGGCAATTAAAGCAGGAAGTGATGTCCAACGCTTAAACTATATCGAAAATTTCCAAACAAAGTCGAGGATAGCCTTTTTGTGAAGATGTTTGTATAATTAAATGAAGATGACACGTGGAGAACCCGAACTTGCCCCATGACAACTTTGTCACAGACAAAATGGATGAAAATATCAATATTATTCTTTGTTTTTTGGTGTTAAATCGGATTCGCGGACAAGTATACTACCTTAATGTTGTCATGGTATAACAAGGATGGAGGTGGGGGCACAATACAACCCACAAAGAAGGTTGTACAACAAACACGTCTCAAGAATAGCATTAGCTACAGTTCAGTATTCAACTTTGCTTTTGTATAAAGAAATGATACCTTGTCTTTTGAAATCCTCTGATTATAATCGAGTTACTGTTTACTTCTATTATTTGATTGGAACCCTTTTTATGTGCAAATTCAAATTCACGAGAGATGATTCGGTTTCTGTTCTTGCTATCAAGACATACACATACACACATACACGCACATAAAGAGTGTTTGAATAAAGAAAGAAGGGAAAGAAGGACATGTGATTATTGAGCGTAGAATAAGGGGGCATAGATTTATAAAGTTAGGCAACCACCACCCGTATTGGCCACATCATGATCCTTAGACAACCACATCTTCTCCGTCTAATTTTATGACATATTAGACATGTTATTTCAGACTAGAAGGACAAAATAAATCATAAAATTCTTATCATACCTCTAGAAAGCCATAAAATAAGTTAAGAAATCATTTAAACCAATTAAAAAAAACTTGTTGTCTAATGGTGACATTAAGCCATGCAATTAAACTTGTAAAACAAATTTAAAAATAAAAAAATAAAAATCCAATAAAAATAATATTTGTTATCTTGTTTTTATAGAAAGCATACAGGTAAGGGGTGTTTTCCTACATTAAAAGTTTGAGCTACCCCTAGACCCAACAAAATCCTCCCACTCACTTGAAGCAGTTGCTGACTTTGTTTTTCACTACCTTCATTTAATAATTAAATAGAATATATTGTTACTACTACTTTTGCTCTAAAAACACACTCTCAAATTGCTTCTTCTTCCATTTGCAAATAAATTTTAAATGGCTCCTCAAATCATCTTTCTCCTATTGCCATTACTACTACTACTCTCTTCCCATTCCTCCTCCTCCCGCCGGATCCTCCATCAACCTTTCTTTCCGGTCATCGATTCTCCTCCTCCACCACCCATCACCACCCAAACTCCGTCGCCTTCTCCTTCCCCTTCTCTGCAACCACAACCTCAACCCAAACATCCTTTCTCTTCACTAACACCACCAGAAACTGACAACAACCGCCGTTTCTTCCCTTCATACACCTCCCCACCAGAGTCTTCCACCACCACAACCACCGTCCCTTCCACTTCTCTCCCCACTTTCCCTGCAAATATCTCTTCCATTATTCTCCCATCGTCATCGTCTTCCAAATCCCATGTCTCCACAAAGCTTCTTCTTATTTCCCTCGCTTTCTCCCTCCTTGCTATCGCGTTTATTGCTGCGGTGGTTGTCTCCCTTGTGTACCACCGCAACCATAGTCACAAACCTCCACCTTCCGATAGTCTCCGGTTGTTTCCGGCTAACCTCCCCACCTCTGACAAACCTCCACCGCCTCCTACTCTTCCATCAAACTTCTCCACCCCCAGCTCCGAGTTTCTCTATCTTGGTACGCTCGTTAGTCCCTTACACGACCAAAGACTTCTCAAAACATCCGATCACATGACCAATGCCTCCGCCTCCGCCTCCGCCGCCGCCTCCGCCGCCGCCACTTCAATCGATTATAACATGTTGGGTTCGCCGGAGCTCCACCCACTCCCGCCATTACCCCGACAAGACTTCCATCACCAACACAACCTGGACGAGGGTTCTTTCTCCGACTCCGAAGTGGAGGATCTTGGAGATTTCTTCTCTCCAAAAGGATCTCCGGTAGCGTTTCAACGCCACAAGACGGTGTTGCCACCTTCACCTCCACCTCCTCCGCCACCGCCATCTGGGTTCAGCGGAATACAAAGAAAAGAAGAGATTTTGAAGCCGAAGTTGAAACCTTTACAATGGGATAATGTAAGAGCAAGCTCAGAGAAGGCAACGACATGGGATCACTTCAAATTAAGCTCTTTTCAGTGAGATTCATCTTCTCTGCTACCTCCATTACTCTTTTCATTACATCGCTTAATTTCTACATCTAATCGCGATAACATAATCACATAGGTTGAACGAAGAAATGATACAGACATTGTTCATGTCAAACTCATCTAAACTCGCACCAAACCCTAGCATCGATCAAAAGATGGTTGCCGATGTAACCCAAAAGAACATTGTCCTTGATCCACACAAATCCAGAAACATCGTTATACTTTTGAGGGCGCTTGATTTAACCATCGATGAAGTCTGTGAATCCATTCTTCAAGGTAACGTTGATACCTTAGATTCTGAGCTACTTGGGAGCTTGTTGAAGATGGCTCCAACAATGGAGGAAGAAACTCGCTTAAAGGAATTCGATGATCTTGATCCAGCGGAGAAGTTTCTGAAAGCAGTTATTCAAATACCATTCGCATTCAAGAGGGTGGATGCCATGCTCTACATATTAAACTTCGATAATGAAGTTGAGTATCTCAAGGGATCCTTTAAAACCATTGAGGTATATAACTATATACACCACCTTTTGCTGTTTTGATTTTTGAATCCATGGAAGTCATGTAATCGATTTCATATGTTAAAAAACTTTGTTTCATGGTGTTTCCAGATGGCTTCTCGGGAGCTTAGGAACAGCAGGATGTTTATCAAGCTGCTCGACGCTGTGTTAATGGCAGGAACCCAGATGAATGACGGAACTACCCATGCCTGGAAGCTCGATACTCTTCTCAAGCTTGTACACGTGAAGGGCAACGATGGAAAAACAACACTCCTCCATTTTGTCGTACAAGAGATCATTCGAGAAGAAGGGTTTCACCTTTCGGGTGGAGAAAATAATAAAAACTCAGAGCTCTGTGATGAGGTGGAGTTCAGGAAACGTGGTCTTGAAGTTGTTTCGAGTCTCGGTGGTGAGCTTTCGAGTGTTAAGAGAGCCGCAGCCATGGATTCCACCTTGCTTTCGAAGGAAGTGGAAAGGTTAGCCATGGGGTTAACCAAGGTTGGTGAAGTGGTGGATTTAAACGAACAGATTGGATCGAATGAAAGATTCTCAGACTCCATGAACGTGTTCTTGAAGAAAGCGAAGGATGATCTGGTTAAGATTGTTGATCAAGAGCGGCTATCCATTTCAATGGTGAAGGAAGCTACTGAATACTTTCATGGGGAGTATTCAGCCATGGAAGAAGGTGAAGCTTTGAGGATTTTTACAGTGGTGCGTGAGTTCTTGTCAGTTCTTGATCGAGTTTGTAAGGAAGTTGGGAAGATGAATGAGAGAAGCACAGTTGGGATCCCTTTACCTTTGCGAATGAGTCGAAGTCTTCCTGTATTTCCTAAGTTTAATGGAGGACAACAGTTTGGGTCATCAGATGGAGAAGATGAGTCAGTTTCGGTGTAACTGGTTCTAGGCTTTATTAATTGTAGGTTTTGTTGCTCAATTGCAAGCATCTGTATAAATTTTGGTGCAGTTTTAGATCTAAATATTATTTTCTTTAGTCGGTTTTGTTACAATTACAATTAATTAATAACTAAGATTTTTCATCACTTTCATAACGAACCTCTAAATGTGAAACGGGCAACACATTATTCTCAATCAAAAGGGTACAATTTTTAACATCAAACGTAAACTTACTGGTAAATGGTATGGTGTACAAAAAAAAAAAATACTAAAAAATGATAATTCATTAAATGGTGTACAAAAAAAAAATTACTAAATGTAAACAAAAATGATAGTTTACCCTACAAACTCTTTTTCTCTTTTGTTTAAAATAAATTTTGCATTCGATCAAAGTCGAACACCAAACGTAACTTCCATCAATGCAAACGTCAGAAAATAAAAGAAGAATCGATGAAATACCAACATGCAAGAATTTGTAACAAAGGTTACTTTATGTCAAACACGCAGCATACAAGAGTCGCTTACGTAAATATATGTTCATGTGTTTTTTTTTTTTTTTTATCTCTTGGCACTACTTTTTACATCACTAAAAGTAAAATAAAGTGACATTTTTTTTTAAAATTGCATTTTGTAACACTTGAATTGCCTATAAAGTGTGACAAAAAAAGCATACGAGCCTCTCTTTCTCTCTCTACAATATTATGCAAAAATTTGTAAATGACACTCGTGAATTAATATCATATCAATCCACATCATGTGCCTTACTCCCCAACTTTACTATATCTTCCACAAGTATTTTTCCATCTGTAAATAACAAAATCAATTAAATTATATAATCATAGTTTTAGATAAAAACATATATTTTTGTATTACTAAATACTAACCTTTATCTTTTGAAAGGTTGCTAATAAGTTCTTGAACACCTTCCTTTCCTAAAGTATCTTTCAAGTATATGGCTGCAGATGCCACTTCTTCAGGGGTAACTTTTCCATCATAATCCCTGTAAAGTCAACCGCTTAGTCAACCTTACTATAAATAGAATTTTATATATATTTATTATTTAATAAATTAACTACCTGTCAAGAACTCGCCAACGATCACCAATTTTTGCATCCACGTCATCGATTTCTTTCTCGAGTTTTTGTAGCATAGCATCAACCTAAACCATAAAATGTCACTCAAAGGGCAAAAAAGGGAAAGGGTAAAAACGGAAACTTACCCTGTTTATAAGAGCTGATGACACCTCATCAGCTACATGTTCCTCACTGGAATTATCAATTTCCTCATGGACATGAGCAGCTTTATACGCCTTCATTATCTCCTTTTCACCATCCCTTCCTTCTTTATTATCCATCATACTATGATACAAATTTATCTGAAACCATACAAAATTACCAAAATGCCCTTGAGTAAATAATATGAAGTAGGGTGAGAAAACATACCTCTTTGTTAACAAGCCTCAGAAACTCTTCTCGCTCTCTGCTAACAGACTGAAGAAAAGCACGTTTTTTTAGAAAATTATAGAAAGAAAATATAATTAAACAAAATGTCTGAATGCTTACAGATGCAGAAGCTAAAACAGCTAAAGCTTCACTGACTTTACAGAGCTGTTCTTGTTTTTCTAAAGCTCTTGCTCTTGCTTGTTCTTGAATTTCTGAAGCTGTTGGATTAATCATTTCCTCTAATGCAATATCTTTGTTATTTTCAATCGATTGCTTCATTTTAGCTTGCTCTTCTTCTTCTTTCTCTTCTTCCTCCTGTAATACAAAATGACCATTTTACCCTTACATAAAGAAAAAAAAAAAAGGTAAAATGATGATTTTACCCTTTACATAAAGAAAAAAAGATAAAATGACCATTTTACCCTTACATAAAGAAAAAAAGGTAAAATGACCATGTTACCCTTACATAATAAAAAAAAAAGGTAAAATGACGATTTTACCCTTACATAAAGAAAAAAAAAAGGTAAAAATTTGGATGGAAGAGAACCTTGATGAGTTCTTCTTGCATTTCAAGAAATTCTAATTTTCTTTTTCTTTCTGAAACAGAATCTTCAGAGGGCAAAGAAGTAACTCCAACAGTGTCCACAACTTCATCTGGCAATGAAGATAATGTGGCTCTCACAACTTCTTCAGGCTTTAATTTCCCAGAAACAGTGAAGGCTCTGTAAATATATATAAAGAATTTTTTTATAAAAAAAGAAAAGGGTAAATCCGTAAATGAATTATGAGTTATGATTTATGAATCCAATTTACCTTGAAAGAATCAAGAGTGAAGATGGAACTGAGTGATTCAAAGACAAATCCAACCAATCACGAAGCTGCAGAAAAAAGTTTGACCAAATTAAATTTTTTTTTTTAAATAAAAAAAAAAAAAAAAAAAGAAAAACCTGTTGACGCATTTCATCAACTGAACGTAATCCAAGCATGCCTCTTTCTCTACAATCTTCACGAAGTTCTTCTTCAGAAAGAGCATCAACACCACCTTCTGCTTGAATCATCTTATCATCATTCTTAATCCTACAAAAATTTAAAAAAGGTATAAATTGTAAATAAACTGACCACATTTTAATGATTTCTATAAATAAAAGATCAAAAAATTTATATACCATTGAAGTCTTTTTCTGAGCATGTAACGAAGGTAAGCATCTGTTCCAAAAGGTTGGATTCCCATATATTTGCACATGTTCACTAATCGAGGCCTAATAAAAAGAATTATTTTTTTTAATAATTTAATGAGAAATTATATCATTTGCTGCATAATTCACTGAGAATATGACCTGCTGATATTATCGAGGGTAAGTTCGTCATTGAACAGCTTTGCAAATCCCAAAATTTCATCATTAGCAACAGAAGAACCTTTTCTGACCTGTAAATCCGTTTGTAAATGAAGCAATGAGACCAAATGACCATTTTACCCTTAATGGATTAAGCTCATTAAGTGAAAAAGAAACAACCCGAAAAAGTATAGAGATTGAAGTATCAACTATAAGCTTACCTTGCTCAAAAATTCATCAAGATCTTCTGCTGTTTTCTTGATTTCTCCACTTCGAGTATTTTGGACCTCTTTAGCCATTTCTTTAACAGTATCTTGAAGAAACTTTGCGTATTCTATTCTTGCATTTAACCTCCTTTTCAATGCTTCCTACAAACATAATCAAATCAAGATGATAAGAACTTATATATATTGATGTTTAGAGAATCATATGAAGATATGAAGCAAAACCTGTTCTTTCATTTTGTCTTGAAAGGTAGAAGGTAACATGTTGGGGAAAAGTTTCAAGAAAACAGGAAGTAAAAACTCCATGAAAGGGACAATAATGAAAACAGCAACAGGAACAAGACGAAAGATATCTGCTGTTGTTCGTGTTAGTTGTTGTCTCTCTCTTCTAGAAAGACTCTTTCCACCTGCAAGCTTAAGAAGCAATCTTGAACTGATCTTTATATCAACACCAAGAAGCTTGATACCCAACCAGTAATGCTTCAATGTTGATATGAATTCGTTTTTCCAGTGAACAAGTTTTATAGCCCAATCTTCCCTAAATTGCATAAAACACAAAAGAAATCGTTGGTTTTTGACTTTGTTGATACAGAATAAGTTCCAAAAATGTAAATCAAACCTGCTCATGGAAGCTATTGCTCTTAAAGCTGGGCCAATCCCCAATAGAATTGCCCATGTTCTTTGTAGAATGGATTTTGCAGTAGTCTTCTGTGATTCTGTTACTTGTTTGGCTTTTACTTTGGCTTTTGCAGTGCTTAAACCTTCAACAGCTTGATCACATTCCTCTGGTGAAGCTTCCTTTCTCTTTTTAGAAACTTGTTCTTTATCATCATCTTCACCACGCATATCTGGTTGATGTGCTGTGGCCATTGAAGAAAATTTTGAAGATTGAAATACCAAATTCATCCTCATACGTGACATATGTCCGAATGTTCCATGTCCAATAGTGGAATAGAATCTATGCGGGGTAAAGAATGGGAGTGTGGAAGCATTTCTGATTTCTTCATGTCTTGTAAATGTTGCAGGGTCGAATTTTGTGGTGACAGGGTCTTTGAAAGGGGTATCTGGTGTAGAGCTTGAGTGACCTGCGTCTGAGTATTTGGCATAGTGGCCATGGCTCAGGGCTTGAATTGAACGACTAGAAACATTGATGTAATCAGAGAGAAGCTTCCTTCGTCTCAAAATTGCTCGGGAAGCCATTATCCAAAAACCCTAAGCGATCAAAAGAAAAACCCTGAAACAAACACTTCAGAGTTCAGAGATCGACACGTATCAATCCAAACCACCATAAAACTTTTCATTAACAATCAACCAAATAGAAGAAGCTTAATAACTTAAAACTCTCATCCCGAGTAGCGAAAGCGATTGTTCACCTAACCCTAATGAGCTCAAGAAAGGAAAAGGATGATGAAAAGGGACCAAATCAGATACCTGTACTAATTCGTAAGATTGATCACCAGCAGCCTACCAATAACAAGAAGACAAAAACTGCATCGAAACAGAACAAAACATTATCCAAAAGATTCAGGAAATACAATATGCAATCAAAAGTCAATTTCGGCGACGAACTTCAACAATCAGCAAGATTAGAAAGCTACATAAACAAATATGTCGGAAGAACACAAAAAACAGTGAAATAGTTTGGATTAATCAGCAGGTTAACGACTTACAGTGGTGTTGTAGGAGGAAATGGAGGAATGAAAGAAAAACTGAAAGCGGAAAATGGAAATGGTGGTGGGGAGTAAAGTCTTATAGGGTTGCCTGCTAGTCAAGACAGCGAACGGGATTTGGATCTTCGAATATGCGTCATGGCTGAGTATTTCACCTTATAATTATGAAATAAATCCATTTTGATATTATTTATTTTGGGATTTAAGAATGTAATGTCGACATAAGATAATAGATTTAATGCATATTAAAAAATAAATAGCAATAATAAAATTGATATTTTAAGACACTTATGGCATGTTAGAATTTGTGAATGTAGTCGATATTTTTAGTTTGTCATAATTTTTCGCATTTATAAGTTATAATGAGAGGAGTTTAGTTTTTATTCGTCTTATCATGTAGCTTAACATTCAAATGGTTCGTCTTCTTTATGTCATAGCTTTTCTTCGACAACCTAAAATCAAAACTTAAATTATAACAAAATCAAATCAAAATTTGAGTTTTGGGTTCATCAAGTTCAAACCAAATTTTTAACTAAAATCATGAATTTGGAGTTTGGTTTGGTTTCCAAGTTCCTTTTGGAACCAAACTAAAAAGAAAGTATAGTTAATTTGATTTTTTATTAGAATATTCTTAAAAATGAATTTTCAAATATTAACTTGGACTGTTATGCAATTCGTCCCTTCATATATAAAAAGATTATTATGCCCTTAACAATTTATTTTTAATTTTTTTATTTGTTTATCACTTCTAAATTTAAAAGAAGAAAAAATATCTCACACACCTCCCCCCCTCCCCCCCAAATTCCCTTTCTCCAATTTTCTTTCCTCTTTCTCGCCCACTCCCGACAACCAACATCTCCTCCTTTTTTCCGGCGAGACTAAGCACAAACTCATTTTTCCAACCGAATCCAACATCAACATTTAGAGAAGGAGACAACACACCTGCAACACCAACTCTTGAAATACGAGATGATGAAATCGACAAGTGGGGTGGGGGTTTACAGTTATGGTAAATCGAATGGGTTTACGTGGTGGTGGCACGTCAAGTGGCAAGGATGCAGATGAGGAAGAATAACGTTAGCAAGGAAGAACAGGGTTTTCTCTAGTCGATGCCCTACATCCTCTAAGACCGCCTACTTCTTACCATCATCATCCTAACTGTGAGATATGGAGGATTGAAAATGAAGCATGTATAAGGTGGAAGCAATTTTGTTAAAGGGTGGCTGGAGGCAGAGGTCGGTGTAGAGGTGGCAATGGATAGGATTTCGTCAGCTGTCAAGAAACCCTAGCGGCTTAGTCGGAAACCATCTGCACAACAGAAACCCTAGATCTCGCTGGAAATCGACCATATCTTGTTCTTGATGGAAATCGACTGTATGTTACCAAAAACCTTCTGATTCAACAGAAACCCTAACCAGAAATGGAGCGGCGGTGGCCGGTAGTTTTCGATAGACCGACGATTTCTAATGGTGCTATTTGGTGGTGGGGGTGACCAACGAGTCTGCATTTATAAGTTATAATGAGAGTTGTTTAGTTTTTATTCGTCTAATATTATCATGTAGCTTAACATTCAAATGGTTCGTCTTCTTTATGTCATATCTTTTCTTCGACAACCTAAACTCAAAACTTAAATTATAACAAAATCAAATCAAAATTTGAGTTTTGGGTTCATCAAGTTCAAACCAAATTTTTAACTAAAATCATGAATTTGGAGTTTGGTTTGGTTTCCAAGTTCCTTTTGGAACCAAACTAAAAAGAAACTATAGTTAATTTGATTTTTTATTAGAATATTCTTAAAAATGAATTTTCAAATATTAACTCGGACTGTTCATTGTTTGTTTAAAACTTGCATTATTCGTCCCTTCAGACATAAAAAGACTATTATGCCCTTAACAATTTATTTTTATTTTTTTTTATTTGTTTATCACTTCAAAATTTAAAAGAAGAAAAAATATCTCACACACCTCCCCCCCCCCCCCCCCCCCAAATTCCCTTTCTCCAATTTTCTTTCCTCTTTCTCGCCCACTCCCGACAACCAACATCTCCTCCTCCTTTTTCGGCGAGACCAAGCACAAACTCATTTTTCCAAGCGAATCCAACATCAACATTTAGAGAAGGAGACAACACACCTGCAACACCAACTCTTGAAATACGAGATGATGAAATCGACAAGTGGGGTGGGGGTTTACAGTTATGGTAAATCGAATGGGTTTACGTGGTGGTGGCACGTCAAGTGGCAAGGATGCAGATGAGGAAGAACAACGTTAGCAAGGAAGAACAAGGTTTTCTCTAGTCGATGCCCCACATCCCCTAAGACCGCCTACTTCTTACCATCATCATCCTAATTGTGAGATATGGAGGATTGAAAATGAAGCATGTATAAGGTGGAAACAATTTTGTTAAAGGGTGGCTGGAGGCAGAGGTCGGTGTAGAGGTGGCAACCGATAGGATTTCGTCAGCTGTCAAGAAACCTTAGCGGCTTAGTCGGAAACCATATGCACAACTGAAATCCTAGATCTCGCTGGAAATCGGCCATATCTTGTTCTTGATGGAAATCGACTGTATGTTACCAAAAACCTTCTGATTCAACAGAAACCCTAACCAGAAATGGAGCGGCGGTGGCCAGTAGTTTTCGATAGACCGACGATTTTTAATGGTGCTATTTGGTGGTGGGGGTGACCAACGAGTCTGCATTTGTTGTACTATTCAATCAATGTCACATTAAAAGGGTAGATGAAGGTGGAGGGACAAACATTTCAATTGTCTAATTTATTTATTTTTTTCTAATTGAAAATAATAGTAAAACATTAAAAAAAAAAAAAAAAAAAAAAAAAAAAAAGTTGAAAAATAAAAACATAAAAGTATTATGGTCATTTCAATTATGACACGGAATAAGTTTGCAACAAAATCATATTTCAGGGATGAAGCGTGCAAAGTTAATCCAAACGACGGACGGACGGTTCGAGTTAATTTTTGAAAATAGGGACTAAGCATGCTTTTTGGCACCTCTACGAGAGACGAATGATGTAATTTACCCTAAAAAGAACGTTGGCCTAGTGAGGTAAAACTCTTAATTATTTGAGGTTAATTATTTAAGAGTTCAATTCTCATTTGAAACATGAATGAAATTACGTGTAGATTAAAATTGTTGATTTAAAAAATTAAAATACTCTCTTGGTAAACACGGACAAGACTATGGAAGTGATAGGAGTCAAGTTTGAAATGATGTGATGTGATGTATATATAAAGAAAGTAAATTTTTCTATAAAGTAACAAATAAGTTTGGAACCATGTGCTAAAAAAAAAAAAAAAAAAAAAAAAAAAAAAACATTTCTATAATAAAAAAGTACATTTCAAATGATATTTCAGAGTTCGAAAAAACAACCGGAATTTCAAGAATAAGTTAAAATTCCGATGAATAACGATGTTAGGCTACCCGGTATGGGAGGCATTTCACGTGTCTTGGGCTGAGGTGGCAGCCTCTCCTACGCGTAAACACCGCCCCCAAAGCTGGTGGGCTGCATGTGACGTGAATGGGTAGACAGAAGAAGACGTTGCATCTGATTGGTGGTGAATCTGACCCCTCACAATTTCCCTCTTTCTCTCTCTCTTTCTTTTTGCCCCTTTCACCACCAGCCCACCAGTGAACACCATTTCCATACCCTGGTGGGTTGGGTGTGGAATGGTGAAATATCTATGTGGCATCCCAAACAACGTGTGACCATTCCGTATGGCCATATATATATATATATATATATATATATATATATATATATATATATATATATATATATATATATATATATATATATATATAATATTTAACAAAAAATTAAACAAACATAATAAATAAAATAAAAATATATATATATTTTTTTAAAAGACATTTTAGACATAAATAAAAGATTTATGTGGAAAAAATCGTAAAAAAATGCAGAAAAAAAAAACCTCCATAATTTGAAAAATAAATACGAAAGGAGACATTCGAGAAAAACTTATCATTTTTCATAAACATAAAGGTAACATCCCGTTTAAAATAAGATAATTAAATAATAAACCCGGAACCTTGAGAAGTAATTTTTATTAGTATTTAATATTATTATAATCTAAACCAAATAATAAATTAGCTAGGAGTTGGTTTCGGGAAGCCAAATGACAAGATTTGAATCTCCAGGGGTTAAAGTGTAATTTTAAGACTTATTTTGTAAAGGTTTTCAGTGGTCAGGGGGTATTTGGTATTATTTGGACTTAATATGTAAGGATTTATGGAACCTAGGGTTAAAGAGTAAATTATGTACCTAAGTTGAAATGAATTTGTCAAGCAGGGGCTGCTTGGTAAATATTTTGGACTTGATTTGTAAGGATTTTCAGAATGAGGGGTGTAAATGGTAAATTAAGGATTTATTTTGAACGAAATGGGGGTTGGAGGACCATTTCAGTTATTATGGAAACAAGTTATGGGGGATCGGGGTATATAAACCCGTCACCCTCGGTTCTAAACCCTAACCCTAAAAAGAGAGGCAGTTGCCAACCTTCTTCTTCACTTCCGGTAGTCGCCAACCTCTTGACACCTTAGTGGACCATCGAAGCCTTTGAGGTCATCGCCTATGAAGGAACGAGTTGAGCCAAAACCGTGACTGTAAAGTCGGTCGGAAGAAGCAAAGTTGCATTTACCACCGTCGCTGTTCGCAAAGTCGAGGTCGTAATCACTTCTTCTCCCCGTTCTTCTATTGCAGCGACATCACCGGGCCACCGCCCTTCCACTGTTGAAGTTGGGAATCACCAAGCTGACGTCGCCATTGTTCCCGTTGCTACTAACGATGATGAACCTCATACTCTCCTCATTTTTCTCTATATGACTACGTCACCGCTGGTGTCTGGAGGTCTCTCAACACCACTGACGCCCTACGTCCGCCGCATGTTGCCATGACATGGTGGTCAGGTTCGTGGTTTGTCATGCGATTGTGTGTGGGAGTGGGTTATGTCGAATGAAAGGCGTGAAGAACCATTATGGCAACCGGCCATGGTGGTCGCCGCCGATAATGAAGTTTTTGTCGTTAACCGATGTTGTTGCCGCCTAGCTCAGCCATTGTCACCGCCACCGTACACCACTAGGTGGGTGGGTGGGTTTATTTCACATACATAAGTGTTTTGGGGTGTGTTTCCATTGTTAGGGTGTGTTATGTGCGAGTTGTGTAATCTGGAATCAAAAGTGAGCCACCACCACCACTGTGAGGTGGCGGCTAGCACCTCCGACCACTACTTGCCACCACAGAGCGGCTGCATGTGTGTGATTAATTTAGTGTGTGTGTGTGTGTGTGTGTTTAATTGGTCTTTTTGTGTTGTATGTTGTAATTGGTAAAGGAATAACGAAAATAAACTCATAACCACCACCAACAACCGTGTTAGGTGATGGTGTGCCTTGTTTGTGTTTTGACTCGTTTGGGGATGCTTGGACAAAATGAGCCAAATGAAACCCTAATGGGCCTAATGAAGCCCTAATTGATCTAAAAGCCCAACCATTTGATTAATGGGCTAGTATTTGGGTTGGAAACCCTAATTAGGGTTTGGAAAACCCTACTACCTTTGAAACCCTAATTTTGGGATTAACCGGGACCGCACGAGAATTATTTATTAAACCTAAAATAATAATTAATAATCAGGTGCAAATTAACCTAAGGCAATAATGGACTTAATGGATTAAGTCCTTAATGGAATAAGTCCTTAATGGGTTAATTGTAACACTCGTGTTTCTAGCCTAAGCATTTATATTGAGTTGATAGTCTAGGTTAACCTTTGTAACTCATTTTGAATAAATAAAAAGGAATTATGTGAATATTATGTTAATTATGTGTTTTATGCTTAATTATTAGGGCTTAATTAATTAAGAATAAAAATAAGCGTTAAAATTAAAGTGTGATATAAGCCCGATATCTTTACATAAAGTTGTAGTGGTCGAAACAAGGATTTCGGGGATATAAATAATACCAAAATCCGAGTTATAACGAAGAAGTTATAAATTGTCGAAGTTTCGCGACAAAACCAGCACGGTGCTGAATGTCGTAAAAAGCGAGTTTCTTGATAAACTAATTTCTAGCCTTAGAAATCTAAACGAAAGTCGTAGTATTCGTTAAACCGAGAAGTTCGATAAAAAGAACGCCCAAATCTGACTTCGTATGAGGAAGTTATGATTTTTCGAAGTTTCAACTTAGCAGTAGACAACTAAAAACTTGAATTTTAGATCGAGCCAGTACCTGTTATAGGAGCTGCACTTGAACCAATGACGATGGTTGGGGTACAAGCAATGATGCAGATGATGTTAGATCGCCAAATGGAGGAGACAAGGCGATTACTACAACAACATAGGGAAGACACTACGATGCCTGTTGAACAACCCGTATTGAGTGAAGGGCAATCAATAGGAGGGAACTACAGTGGGACTCTTGGTCAAGCCAACCCACCGATAGTTAGACAAAACAACCAGGATGGAGGAGTTGATGGACGCGGATGCAAATACAAAGATTTCATGGCATCTAAACCGCCGTGTCTATCTGGAAGTCCGACACTGGTGGAAGTCATGAATTGGATCTCCGAAATGGAGACGATATTTGAAAGTTGCGAGTCCAGCAACAAACAAAAGACCGCACTTGCAATCCCTCTGTTAAAGTCTGGTGTGTTGAGCTGGTGGAAGTTACTAGCTGATTCGATGCCCAAGGTTGAAGCTAGTAAGATGTCTTGGGAAGATTTTGTGGTACAACTGAAATTACAGTACTGCTCTGAGCAGGATCTTCTGGAAATCAATAATGAGTTCCAGAATTTAAAGAAAGGAAAGATGAGTGTTACTGAATATGCTGCTAGTTTTATGGAAAAGATGAAGCTAGTTCCTCATCTAGTTCCAACTGAACTCTCTAAGGTCAACAAGTTTTCCTTTGGATTACCAGCGGACTTTGCTCCGATGGTTAAGCAAGCAACCACTTTGAAAGCCGCCATCTGGGCTGCTAAGAATGTTGAGGTTCAGATCAGAGAGAAGGGTCTGGAGAGGGCAGAAGTTGGTGAAAAGAGAAAATTTGAAGGAACTTCAGGTTCCAACAAGAAAAGCAAATTTTCGAAGTCCAAGAAGGTTGGAGGAGGAGGAGGTGAAGTGAAATGGTGTGAGAAGTACAAGAAAAAGCACTCTGGGAGATGTAGTAAGGAGGTGACTTGCTTCAAATGTGGAAAGACTGGCATTATGCCAACGTGTGTCCGTCCGAGAAGAGGGTATGTTTTAAGTGCCATGAAGTAGGGCATATTCTTAAAGACAATCCAAAGAGGAAGGATGTAGCAAAGCCCAATCCACCACCAAAGCCGAAGGCGAGAGCCTTTCAGATGACACTTGAAGCTGCAAAAGAAGAAGTCGATGTCGCTTCAGGTACCTTTCTCGTAAACGAATTGCCTGCCCAAATTTTGTTTGATTCTGGAGCCAATTACTCCTTTATATCGCATGAATTTGGTAAAAAGCTAGCTTTGCCTGTAGATAGGCTAGTTAATGCCTTATTAGTCGAGATTGCTAGTGGCAAGTTTGTACCTGTTAGCCATCGTATGAAAAACATCCTCATTGACTTGGATGGGAATAAGTTCCATGAGGAATTGTTGCCTATCGAGTTAAATGGATTCGACATAGTTTTAGGAATGGATTGGCTTAGCGCCAATGATGCAGAAATATTATGTAGAAAGAAGATAGTAAAAGTAAACCCACCAGGGAAAGAGTCGTTTATGGTGTATGGAGACAAATGCAGAGTAAATTCTGGAATCATTTCCCTAATGAAAGCCAGAAAGTGTTTGGCCAAGGGATGTACATCATATCTAGCGTTCGTGATCGATGCTAAGATGGAAAAGAAGGAGGTACAGAATATTCCGATGGTGTGTGATTATCCGGAAGTCTTTCCTGAAGATCTTCCCGGATTGCCCCCTGATCGACAAGTAGAATTTCGTATCGACTTGTTACTAGGAACGACGCCGATAGCAAAAGCACCCTATCGATTAGCACCAACAGAGATGAAAGAACTTATGACACGAATTCAGGAGTTATTGGACAAAGGTTTCATTCGACCTAGTTCATTGCCCTGGGGAGCCCCCGTGTTATTTGTAAAGAAGAAAGACGAAAGCATGAGAATGTGCATCGATTACAGAGAGATGAACAAAGTGACGATAAAGAATAAGTACCCGTTGCCAAGGATCGATGACCTGTTCGACCAGTTACAGGGTTCGAACTATTTCTCGAAGATCGATCTTAGGTCGGGATACCATCAACTAAAGGTGAGAGAGCAGGATATCGAAAAGACTGCGTTTAGAACAAGATATGGACACTATGAATTTTTGGTTATGTTGTTCGGACTAACCAATGCCCCACAGCTTTCATGGATTTGATGAATAGGGTTTGTAAACCATTCTTAGATAAATTCGTGATATTATTCATCAAGGTTGTAAAAAACGTTCGACGTTAGCTAGTCGGTGGACTGGGGTTAAGCGATTAATCGGCTAGGCGGAGATTAATCGGGGGATTAATCGGGGACCATTAATTGCTAATTTACTAAATTTTATAAAATTAAATATGAATAATATTATACCAAAGTTCATAAATACCACTAATATCATAATAAAATAGGTTACTATGATTAATACAACACTAATCATGCCTCAAATAGTTTCTATTGAGATAAAACTTCTTGAAAATGTTACAATTTCATCGTTTTATACTATTTCACTCATTATGTATGTACAGATTAATCGCTAGGTGCCCTCTAATCGGTCTAGTAGCGCTTAAGGATTAATCGGAGATTAATCGGAACCTAATCGGGATTTTTACAACAGTGGTATTCATAGACGACATCTTGATTTATTCGAAAAGCAAGCAGGAGCATGAAAAGCATCCACATGAAGTGCTAGAAGTCCTGAAAAAGGAGAAGTTGTATGTAAAGTTCTCCAAATGTGAATTTTGGATTCAAGAAGTCCAATTTTTAGGTCATGTGGTTAATCAAGAAGGAATAATGGTTGACCCAACAAAGATTGAAGCTGTGATGAAGTGGGAACAACCAAAAAGCCCTATGGAGATTCGAAGCTTTTTAGGATTAGCTGGATATTACCGAAGGTTTATCCAAGGCTTTTCTTCGATTGCTACTCCATTAACAGCTTTGACCCACAAAGGAGCTACTTATGCTTGGAATGAGAAGCATAAGGAAGCCTTTGAGAAGTTGAAGAAGAGATTGTGTGAAGCACTGATTCTTTCGTTGCCTGAAGGAGTTGATGACTTCGCAGTTTATAGCGATGCATCTGGAGTTGCGTTAGGTTGTGTTTTGACCCAAAGGGATAAAGTGATAGCGTATGCATCAAGGCAATTAAAGGAACATGAAAAGAACTACCCTACTCACGATTTGGAGTTGGCAGCGGTAATATTCGCCCTAAAGATATGGAGGCATTATCTTTATGGCACAAAGTGTTAACTTTTCACTGATCATAAGAGTCTCCAATATCTCTTTAATTAGAAGGAATTGAACATGAGACAACGACGCTGGCTAGAGTTACTCAAGGACTACGACTATGAGATACTTTACCACCCTGGTAAAGCAAATGTTGTTGCTGATGCTCTCAGTCGGAAGGTAAACCTTGAAAAGAAAAGGCCAAGAGCGTTAAGAATTGAAGTTGTCTCGATAATTGTGGAAAGTATAAAGAAAGCTCAAGAGGAAGATTTAGAGAAAAATGACAGAAAGGAAGAACGTTTGGGCAAAACATTAGTATTTGGTACAAACAACCAAGGGTTGAGGGTATTCCAATATAGGATTTGGGTACCTAAGACTAGCGGAGTAAGAGATCTTCTGATGGAAGAAGCTCACAAGACCATGTACTCGATTCATCCCGGCAGTACAAAAATGTATAGGGATCTAAAACCCTATT